TATTCTATTCTATTCTATTCTAATAAAAGACAAGAGGGGCTATCTGCAATTTAGTGCAAACTTTACCCCTGTATGAATAGGAAGGAAGAGTAAAAGAAAGTAAGAGTTAGAGAGCAGAGGAAATAAAGGAAGATAGGAAAGTGTGAAATAAGCAACCATAAGGCCCCCACAGGACCCCATGGGCGCCCGCATCGCCTTTATTAAAACAATATTTACAGAGGAATACAAATAGTTAACAGTAACATTTTTACATACAGATGCAATTAACAGAAGGATGCATATCTTTTGCATCAAAGTATATACAAACGTCCATCACTGTTCCAATTTCATCCTCCATTAAAACTAGATCTTGTATCTCATTAACCACTTCTCTTGGATCATGCGCCACATGTATATTATTCTCGAGGTGCGAGGTGAGAAACTTATGTAATCTCTTTTCAAGAATAAACGTTGGTCCTCTGCACCTTTCCACTACAGGTCTCATTTCTTTACCCTCTTTATGGGTCTTAGCAAAAGCAAACAATCTTGGCATACCTGGACTGGGATTTCGACAATTTTTGAGAAAAGGTAATGCATTACTCAGCTTAGCCTTTTCAAGCTTCCTAACCCTTCTGGCTGAAAACGTTAGCTTTTCATTAAAAGTTTTCTCAGCAAATTAAGGTGTTGTGTTTTTTTGTTCGAACTTCAAAACATTGTTTTAAAAAACACTTATGATAATAAATATAGTTTATCAGGTCATCCATAATACAATTGTAATTCACATGTTAATTAAAAGTACTTATTAATTATCAAAATATTTCAATTTTTAATTTAGTTACTTTCTTGGATACTTTTGAGGTATTCATAGTATTCGAATTTATTTTTATTAACGTAAAATTTGACGTCTCGAATCTTGAATACTCTCTAGTGTTCGAGTATTTGCAGATAGTATTCGCCCATCTGTAATAATTATTAAATTTACATGGCTACATGATCACTTTTCTTTGTTACAACTTATCTTTAGTACAAATTATGTAATATCTATAAGTTAATTAAGTTCTCGCTCGAAGACTACTCATATTCTATCATTTTATTAATGATAACTTTAAATTAATAATTAATTTTATAATTAAATCAACATTTATAGAAAGTTATTAAAATGATAAATAATATATTTATTAATTAGTTAGCAATTCCTTAGATCAATAAAAACTTAATTACCGTTAAAAACTTGAACCATGACGCTACTATTACTTGAGAAATTCGAAGAGCGGCAAGTGTAACTTCCTGTATTCATTGTTGTTACGTTTCGAATTTGTAATTTTCTAATTAACTCCACCCTTTTGCCTTTATTATAGGTTTCATCTGTAATTTCTATTTGATTGCTTTGTTCAATAATTATACGTTGGTTGTGATACCAGTGAATATCTTTTGGAATTTGTATAAATTTGTTTATTATACATTTTAGAACCAATGAACTTCCTTCCTTGAGAAACAAAATAGAATTTCCATCGATTGAAATCTTCGGTTCTAGAAGAAAGAATAAAACTAAAATTACTATAATATATTACACTTTAATTAATGCTTCTAGTTTTTTAAATATTATTTTATTAATATTAGTTTATTGCGACTATAATCTATTAATAGGACTTAATATACGATTTAACTTGCGGATGAAATTAGAGAAATTGAATCGATTCTAAAAAATAAACAGGTACAAATAACAATATTTTTTCAATCAAAGCAAAGGATTGATTCAATCCCATTTCTCATTATAATATCTACACGGGAGCTGAAAATGTCAAAATATAGTCTTTACAGTATATAATTTGATATTATAATGGATAAACAGGATAAAGTTATTTAAATGCCGAAACTAGCTACATACGTCTTTATCAATTTAAATCCTATAAAATATTATAGAAATATAAATTTTTCTTTTACAAAAAATATATTTCTTGAGACTATACATACAGGATAANAGTATATATACCTGATACATTCTTAAAAAATTAAAAAGTGCTCAGAAACATAACAAACATCGATACAGGTAAATAGGTTGACAAATTCATATGCTGCCATCTATTGTTAGAAAAATGTATTTAAGAACTTTTAACAATTGAATATTTTGTTTTATCTGTTTAAAAAACTGCAATGTAGCACAGTAATCAACACATGGCATAACTCATTCATTTATTCCAGCTTTTGTTGAGAATCCCGTATACTGTTAATACCTACATGTTGAGTACACTAATGGTGTTGTTCTTTATAGTCTTCAAAGTATAGTAGAGTTTAAATAAGACAGTCTATGTCTGAGGCGTGAAGAAGTGAGATTAAATATTCAACCTGGTATCTGAAATAATCAAGTATATAGAGTATGATTCCCGTTCGGAAAAAATACATACAGAGAAGGAATTTTTTAAAAAATGGTATGTTGTGTCTTACTTGTATATACCAAAGAAATATACTTTTATTTTTGTGGTTTTAATTCATATGTCGGGTTATAATATGTATATAATTGGTTTTTATATGTTTTAGTTGACTGAGGAGGGGCAAAAACGGAGCCCGAAACGTGTATAGAAACGCGTTTCAACAAAAGCTGGAATAAATGAATGAGTTATGCCATGTGTTGATTACTGTGCTACATTGCAGTTTTTAAACAGATCAACAAAAGCTGGAATAAATGAATGAGTTATGCCATGTGTTGATTACTGTGCTACATTGCAGTTTTTTAAACAGATATAAAGATACAACACGGTTTCGAAATATGGAAGAAATTGAATATTTTTTTTTCTCAGTTCGTTTATATGCTGTTGCCATATGTCGTTATTACTTACAGTTTAATTAACATTTAACAGTTTTTAATGGGAACGTCGGATCTGAGTCCCAGCGATTTTTTTTTAATTTCAAACTAATCAATTGTATTGAACACTGCCTATTTGTTTACCTGCAAATTAATGTAATATAGACTGAGCGTTTATCTCAATTTACTCGATTTTTACAGCCTAAAATCGACCCAACTTTGCCCCTGACATTAGTATTAAAAGTTAAGTGCTGGAAGATTAGTGAAAAATCGCTAATTAGGCGACTTTTGATGCCGTTTTGGAGAGCAGAAAAGGTGCTTCGGAGATGGTCACCAATTGAGAGATTTTAGTCTGTGTTTTAGAATTTTTGAGAAAGATGTCACATTAAGACAAATAGAGTAGTCAGACCTCGGTTTTCGGACTTAATTCTTTCCTAATGGTTGTTCGAATACCGATTAATTCTAAAACCGATACAAATTTTCTCATAAGAAACAATATGAAACGGATTTATCCGTTCCCGACCCCCAAAACAAAGCGAGCTTTCTTTTACCTTTTTAGATACATGTCATGCATAAAAATGCCCACAATGCAATATAATATTAAAGATAATATTACGAGAATATTATATATATCTATTCTATATAAGCCTATATATTAAAGGCAAAATATTCGGTCACCGCCAACCGAAACTAACACTTTAGAAGAAGTGTTATAAATGCATGAAATGTAACCAAATCAATCAAAACAGATAACAAGTACTGTACTTTATCACACTTTTAGAAATATTATGTTTCAATTGATTTGATTTAAATTTCAATTTTATTTTTAACTTTAGAAGTTTTGTACCCTTTCTATTGCTATCTGGCATAAGACAAAACCGCTAAAGTCAACACTCGATACAAGAAAAAGTAGTAGTGTTTAAACGTTTATTTCTATTGTGGGTAATAACTAAGAAATTAGAATATCCGCTTAAGTATAATCATTTGATTCGATCTTCAGAAGAAATAATTTTATTAATTTACTTTCCCGGCTGTTTATAAGTACAATACTAGAAAAGTATATTGATCGGTGACATTTTGACACCAAAAGTATAAAATCCCTTTCAGCATTATTCTTATTAATATTAAAACAGACATATTTAAATTTGAAAATTAGTTTATTATTTAAATTTAAAACAATTTAAATGATAAATTACAATTAAACAATTAAATTTTTATTCGATATTTTGACTATATAATAATATTGTTAGGTCTATCAAGAAGAAATCTCATGCAGAGATGTTTCTGTAAAAAATTAATCTGTGAATTAAAAAATATTATATTAAATAAGTATCTTTTAAATTCTTAAATAACAATATATAAAAATTTTCAAAATATTCAAATAATTACACTTACCCAAAATAATTAATTTAACTGGATATATTGTTGTGGAATTAGAAGGGATTTGACAGTCGTAATAGCCACTGTCATTCAAATTTACGTTTTTTATCTCTAAAATCCAATCGTTGTCAATATTTGTAATTCCGAATCGTTCATCTGAGATCACTTTATTATTTACAACGGTTAACAAAGAATGATCCTTTCTTCTTTTCCAAATCACCTATAAAATAAATTTTTAATGATTTATTGTCATAAATTAAAGAAAACAGTTTCAAAAATTAAGTCGAATTATGTTATAAAATTAAAATTTCGTAGGGTATATTAATACATAAGGTACAGTAAAATCTCCACACCAATGCCTTATCTAATTTTATTAACTGCAATGAACGTTTTAAACCTGTTCAACAGGCCAAGTTTTTAAAATTATGGAATATTGATAACTGTTCTATACAAAAAGAACAGTTAAGAGTATATCTAAAATACAAAATTTAAAAAGGTTTACGCCAATTTACAAATAGAAAAAACACAGAAAATAAAGTATTACCATGTGATATTTCAAATTATTGACAATACAGTGCAATTTTGCCGTATCTCCTATGTAACAAGTGACAGTTTTGGGAGTTTGAGAATCGAACGAAGGAGGACTTCCAATAAATATTGTTTGATTATAGTCATATATTCTAGCTGATTGATTGCTGTCGAAAGCTATAATCATAAAAATAAAAAACAAAGTAATATTATTATTACGTATCTTAAAAATTTTCTGTAAATCTAAATCAAACTTTTCTGAAGTTGTGTTTTCTTAAATCAGACAAATAAATTTTTTATTAACCGAATTTTGTCCAAGCGTCATAAATTCTTTTCAGAGTTAAAAATACTTAAATTATTAAACTTTTTTTAAACTTTTAATAATGATGAATTAATAAACTTTTAATAAATGAGAAAATACGTTATTCGTATATTAAAAATAAATAAATTGTATTCAACTACCTGTATGTTCCGAAATGTTAACTTAGTTCGATCTAATTAGTTTTATTCTACATAAAATTGGACGGTAGATTTAGAATCTTTTATTTAAATAGAATTTATTTTTCCTAGATTTTTTCATTTTTAACTCTTTCTGTTCTGTAGTTACTAAGATCTCATTTTTCTTACACATCATAGGGTCAGATCCACAATGGAGCGGACAGGTGGCGAGGAACTGGTTCGATATATATGCAACAGGCGAAAATGAAAATTTACTAAAGAATTAGTCCCCGGATTCGAACTCGGATTCTTCAGAGTAATACATCCAGCTTGGTGCTTCTATTCGTCTGATGATTACGGACACAAATGTATTCGTGTTAACCTACTAATATAAAATTGAACAATACATGTGCCACAGGAAAATCGATCGCATGTAAGATATACGCAAAATGAACTGACAAATAAAGTCAATTTACAGAATGCAGTAGTTACTAGACAACATTAGTCTCATATCAAAAGATTTTGGTAACAATAAATGCGTATGAAATTTCAGAGAGTAAAGATAATACACAAACGTGATAAAACATTGAAGATAATAAAACACATCATTTATATGAGAAAACAAAAAACAGTGTTTCAATTAAATTAAAAAACAAATGAAAAAAATAACGATAGAAAAAAAAAAACATAAATGTAATTTATCAAGAGAAAAGAATACTTTAGAATCTAATGTTCATATAATTAAACTAAAAAATAAGCTTAAATTAAAACACGAAGTTTTTAAATAGCTTAATTTATACAGTAAGGTCCCAGACGGAATTCGAAATTTGTTGTTAAAATGTTAACGAATAACGAATATCCTACGGGACCGTTAAACTTTCACCTTTCGAAAATAAAAATGACAATGTCTTATGAAGAGTATTAAAAATTCCTTTTCTCAAAAAGGTAAACATAAGGCTGGAATTACGAGGAAAAGTTTCAAAGTTCGGAGGAATACTATCCGATCGGTATCGGATTGAGCGTCTATCTCGACCTCTTCCGCTACCCGAAAGCTTCCGAATTGTCACCTGGACACAAGAGTGGACCAATCGGAAAGCGACGAGGGAAGTTGTCATGCAGTTGGAATGCGGAATCGAGGATAGAACCCTTTAAAAGCTCGTATCTCAATGACGCGACATTTTCCCACAATATCTGTTTTTTTTTTTTTTTGTCTCTATGATTTAAGTCCGATGAATTAATATGCAAAAATACATCTTATTCTGAAGTCGCTCTTTCTACTAAACCATTGCTACTCAAAATACAAGCCAGCCTTTTAAAAGTTTGAATTTCCTTTGTTGTAACTTTGTGGACCGACACCTTAGCCAATCCTAATTTCTCATGT